ATCCACAGTGCTTGGACATTCATCAGGCATGTCCTTTCAGAAAAGCATCAAGGAGCTTCTTCGTCCTCCTTTCTGTCAACATAACAATCCCTTCGATGATGCCAGCATCTCCAACACACCATAAACTCCTTGGCATCCTTGTGGACATCTATTATCATTATGTCATTTTATATTTCTAATACAACAGGGCCAGGCCATATAATATAACTTTTATTTCTCCATGGCTAATGTCACAGGGGAAGTCAATAAAAGTGTAAATTATTATGGCTGATTTATGTCTACTTCTCAGTCATAGTCCTGTCAGGGTAGACAGTAGTTAAAAGAAATTTATGTCCCACGATAGTTTAATGGCCATGTGGTCCGGGCAGAACCTAGAACCATGTCTGTCTCATTGTAATCTGAAACAAAAGAGCGAGTCTTTGGAAGGATTGTAATTAACTCAAGGTGAGGTATTACCTATAGTTTGAGCTTTAATGGCCTTTGGTGCAACCAGGAGGTGATTGGAATCGGGTCTGTTTGCGTCCATGTGAAGGATTTATGCCACTTTGTGGACAAAGTATTTTTAGTCTGGGTATCAGGTATTTATGGTCTGGCCGTTGTGATTATTATCAGACTGGTAGTGATTGGAGGTTTCCACTTGGAAGTTGTAACTATATTTACTGACAATCATGGTTTCGCTGGAGTCTGTCTGTTCGTAATTTCAAATTAATAGGTTTTCGTATTTCGGGCATGGCTTTAACACTTCATTGGCCTGACAACTTTACAATAACAATGTTCTTATACAACAGTTTCTTTACAAAATACAGCCAGCTCCAAAAAGTCAATAATCTATAGCTCTCTGCCTTCATAAACTGATCATGAATACTCCACAGCTCCTTCAAATGGCTTGGAGTCCAGCCAAGGAGGAATCACACACGTTTCAATAATTCCATAGCAGATCACATAACTCCACATGTGTCAGTTATTGTTCTGGAAACAACTTGTTCAATGCATGGTCATATATCTCTATATATGTACATCTGCTAGACATCCTGTAAGATATGAGCAGTGTGTCTGAGGTCGGTGTATCACTGCACATAAAAGTGACAAATCCATTCCATAATCATCAGTGAGTGAGTGAGTGAGTTGGGTTTAACGCCACTTTTTAACAGTATTCCAGTTATATCGCGGCGTGTCAGCTTAATGTGGGAGGAAAGCCCGAAGTGATGCAGGTCTCAGACTTTTACCACTTGGGTGAAACCCACGAGCACGGGTATGGTGCTGACAAACCTAGAAACATAATCGGGGCGAACTGGGATTCCAACCCACAATCATAGGTTTCTGGCGTGCCCAAGGGACGCAACACTGCACAGCGAATCGCAGGGCCTTAGACAACTGGGCCCCCCGTGCCCACCATAATCATAAGAAATCATTTTATTATTACACTGAATGCAATGATCAAGTACAAAGTAGAAATACCTCTGAATGTAGAACGGTAAGAAAAATAGAATAAATAGAAACAAAAGAAGAACATTTGCATAATCATAAGACATCTGTGCTAAAAGCAGGGTTCATTTCACAATGCATCAGTGACTATGTTCCTGTGTCTTTTCAGGTGAAAAATTGACTTGCCTTTGCATGTGTTTGTGATGGGCACCACCAGTTGGACAAGATATGCTGATAGTGATTCATCAACACATGGTCATGATGTAGTAGGAATCGCACAATCGACTTTGTTTATGAAGCACTATCAATCAGGTCATAACGAAATACAGACTTCGGTAACATTACACAGGGTCAAGGTCAATAAATGGCAACAAAGTGGGAACAGTTTTGTTCAACTTACGCTATTATTATGTACTGGCCTTTGTTGTAATATACAGTTTGCTCGTCACGCCGAAGATCCGGGTTCGATTCCCGACATGGGTACAATGTGTGAAGCCCATTTCTGGTGTCCCCCGCCGTGATATTGCTGGAATATTGCTAAAAAGCGGCGTAAAACCATACTCACTCACTCACTCACTGTTGTAATATAAGTTGTAGCGGGATCACTCGGGGTACATGGGGTTATATGCATGTGGGCCTCATAAGACCCCATGCACCCCGAGCGATCTTGCTACAACAAATTTATGTCACAAATTAATGAACACAAATTCAAAATTCATAGAAAACAGCTGTTCCATTGAGTTGAGGTTTTACTTGTGCTATGTCACGTGACTTTCATTGACTCGGAAAAAGCATGCAGATATTTGCTTCAAAGTGGGGTATAAGGGATTTATTCTGTCTCTCAGAAATCCACATGCAGCTGACTTGTTCATGGCGGGGTATAAGAGATTTATTCCCCCCCTGAGAAATTTATTACCCTCCAAGGCGGGTTACACAGTATTTTTATCAAGACCAATCTGATCTCATCATTCTGACATGGAGGTATGATAATGGCCTTTGTCGAAATTGAATATGTGTGAAAGTAGGTGGGCGAGAGATGCTGGGCAACAGGGCCGGTGTTCCCATCATGCCTAGACTTCATCATTTAGTCGGCTGTGATACAGCTGAAATATTGCTGGCTGTGCCATTAACACCATTCCCTTGCTCCCAACCCTGTGAAGGTTATGAAACCAGTAATCTGGGGATATTTCTGGGAAATAATGAATAATGCCGCCACTGTCATCCCAAGTAGGTCTCTCTTGGTCCTAACCCTGTCCTCTGCAATTTGTCTTGGTCAGCTAATGAATTGACGTGACAACCCTGTTCACTACTGTCTTATCACGTGATTGTCATGATTGTCTTCTACTTTTGAAGTACAGGAATATAGCCCAGTGCCTCAAGCCAAAACTTACACAAGAATAGTGCAATGGCACTGTAGCTCACCTGGATTTGTACTCAACAATAAATGGTAAAATACACAACCAATGTAAAAAGTTACAGACAGCATTTGATATTCAAATATTTTCTGCATAAATACAGGGTTTTGACATTAAAATCTAATGAATTGAACAAAATATGATCTCATCATAAGGTAAAAGATACAAACAGTCTGGCAATTTCAGAAGAAAGTAGGGCACAGGCAAATTTTCATTTTTAGAGAATTTAAGGGCATGGTCCAAACACACATGGTCACATTCTGAAATAATGCTAGAAAACAAAAGTCGAATTACAACTAACTTCAGACCCCCCCCCCCCCGCATTATATGCCGGGGGATAAAAATGAATACATCACAAGTAATGATATCATTAGTGTACACAATGTCAAGGTTGGTTGGTTGGTTTGTTGTTTAACCCCACACTCAGCAATATTCCAGCTATATGATGGCGATCTGCAAATAATCCAGTCTGGACCAGACAATCCAGAGATTGACATCATGAACATCGATCCACGCAATTGGGATACGATGACATGCAATTAACCAAGTCAGCGAGACTGACCACCCGATCCCTTTAGTCGCCTTTTACGACAAGCATAAACGCCTTAATGTCAACGCTGTCACAATGATTCTACTTTCACTTAAAATGAAATTTAATTGACAACTTGCATGTTTGTGTTTATATCTATCAAGTGATGTCACTTCGTAGTACATTATTATCAGAACAATAAGATTTGTGTACATAACGTCCATTGTAATACAAATGTAACCATGGGCCGATGGCCTACACTTACGAAATAAACTGAATTGAATTGAATTGAATGTTTGTGTCAATCAAAAAAAAGGATGATCACAGAAAGGATGAATGAGTGAGCGAGTATGGCTTTACGTCGCTTTTAGCAATATTCCAGCAATATCACAGCGGAGTACACTAGAAATAGGCTTCACACATTGTACCCATGTCAGGAATCGAACCAGGGTCTTCAACAGACGAGCGAACGCTTTAACCACTAGGCTACCAAACCGCCTCCTCAGAAATATGAGGATTTTAGACTAGTGATGGTATTGATTTCTATGAAGCTGCAGAAATTATTTCACATTTCTTACCAAATTCTAGGAAGGACACACATGAGATGCATTTATATGTCACATACTAATTTAAAAAATTGAGTGAGTGAATGAATTTGGTTCAAATGGCTTTGAACTGCATTCTAGATTCTGTGTAACATTAAGGGTTTGTTTGTTTGTTTGTTTGTTGTTAAACACCACACTCAGCAATATTCCTGCCATAGGATGGTGGTCTGTAAATAGTCTGGACCAGACAATCCAGTGATTGAAATCATGAGCATCGATCTATGCTATTGGGATATGATGACATGCATCAACCAAGTCAGCGAGCCTGACCACCCGATCCATTTTGACCCCTCTTATGACAGGCATAGATTGCTGGAGACCTACATTCTTACCCTGAATCCCCACCGGTTTAACTTATGCTGACAAACCAACAGTATTAATCAGGGAGAATATGGGATTCAAACTCACAACCATAGGATCCTGACACACAAAGGGGCGCAACTCTGCATATCAATGGGTATGGTGCAACCATATACCTGGGATCGTAATCGAGGTAAATGTGGCATTTAAACTCACAACCAGCAGCTATAAGGGATGCAAAGCTTCACAGCGGGCTGCCTCGTCTTACACAATCCACGACCATAGCCACCACACATCCATTATACTTGAGCATTAATGTGAAAATGGATACACGAAGGAAAAAGATATGTTCAAGATTGTATTGGTGTTTCAGTGGCCCTGTTGAGAATAAAACTACATTTTCCATCTGTTCATCTTACAAAACCATGGCAACAAGACTGGAAATGGAAAATATTGTTTTTAACTAATTAACAAGTCCTGTATGTACTCCTTGCATAATGGAAACAATACATAATTGGTGGAAGTAGTTGATACAAAATAACAATATATTCCAATTGGAAAAAATGCTGATATGTTTGATTTCTTAAATAAAGGAAATACTTTCCTGAAATAAAAGAGCAGCTGTGATGGGAAGATGCAATTAGCAGATGTTATGAATTGCAATTATAAGAAAGACAAAAATTCCTGCGCAACGATTTTGTCACCATTAACTTAAGTGTTACATACCTGCTACAAACAAACCAATCGTGATGAAGATGAATCTGGGATTTCAACCAATGATTCAACGGATTCTGCATCTTGAGGATGCAAATCTGCACAGCAAATTCCGGCGCCCAAGATCACTGAATCACTGGATGGATCAAAAGCTGAAAAATACAATGTTCATAGTGAGGTGAAATGGGGTTTAACATCAAGCTCAAGATTATTGCACTGATACAGGGATGTGCATGCATGTATTTGTGTGGCTGCTTGTACTAGACCAGACTGATGCCAGTTTTATGGTGCTAGCCCATCGCAGTTTAACATGGGTACCCAACTCAGACACAGTATACTGATCCAGAACCGACCTTGTTTTATCACCTTAATCCTGAACACCAGGCCTGGTAACAAGTGAGTGAGTGAGTTGGGTTTTACGCCCTTTTAACAGTATTCCAGTTATATCGCAGCGTGTCAGCTTAATGTGGGAGAAAAGCCCGAAGTGATGCAGGTCTCAGATGTTTACCACTGCGGTGAAACCCACGAGCACGGGTATGGTGCTGACAAACCTAGAAACATAATCGGGGCGAACTGGGATTCGAACCCACAATCGTAGGTTTCTGGCTTGCCCAAGGGACGCAACCCTGCACAGCGAATTGCAGCGTCTTAGACAACTGGGCCACCGGTAACAAGTACTCTCTGTTAAACTATTTAGGTATGATAGCCGGTGATTGAACAACTGAAATTCCACTCTCCGGGCAGACACTCTATCCTACTCAGACACAGTATACTGACTCTGAGCCGACCAGTCCTTGTTTTAGCTCCTTGATGCCGAGCGCGAGACAAGGTAATAACAAGAAACATTTTTTAACGTCTTTTGGTATGACCATCTTCCATCAATTTAGTTCATTCCAACATGCGGGACGGTCGGGTAGCCTAGTGGTTAAAGCTTTCGATCGTCACGCCGAAGACCCGGGTTCGATTCCCGACATGGGTACAATGTGTGAAGCCCATTTCTGGTGTCCCCCGCCGTGATATTGCTTGAATATTGCTAAAAGCGGCATAAAACCATACTCACTCACTTATTCCAACATGCATACAGACATGTGTATGTGTGGCTGCTTGTACTAGTCCAGGCTAATGCAGGTTTTATAGTGCTAGCCCACTGAGATACCATGCAGCAGTTTAACATGAATACCCCACTCAGACACAGCATACTGACTCCGAGCCGACCAGTCCTTGTTTAAGCCCCTTAATGCAGAGTTTATAGTGCTAGCCCAATGAGATACCATGCAGCAGTTTAACATGAATACCCCACTCAGACACAGCATACTGACTCTGAACCGACCAGTCCTTGTTTTACCCCTTAATGCAGAGTTTATAGTGCTAGCCCAATGAGATACCATGCAGCAGTTTAACATGAATACCCTACTCAGACACAGCATACTGACTCCGAGCCGACCAGTCCTTGTTTTAGCCCCTTAATGCCGAGTTTATAGTGCTAGCCCAATGAGATACCATGCAGCAGTTTAACATGAATACCCTACTCAGACACAGCATACTGACTCCGAGCTGACCAGTCCTTGTTTTAGCCATCTTTTAATGTCTTTTGGTATAATATGCCTGGGATGGAACCACTGACCTGTTCTCGAAGTCAGGTAAATAATGCAACACAAGTAAACCGTTTCAATCAAAAATATACTCTAACCTTTTCCCAGAGAAGCTATATATCCCAAGAGCTGATATCAATCACTTTCAAAAACACCGTAACCTAAGATTTTCAACATCTGACACTAACACTTTCTGACAAAACAAATTACCCTATACATAATTAAAAAACATCTTCGCATCAAAACCTACACCCAGGTCAGCCCAAAGACACTTGGAGTTTTCTGACAGCCAGATCTCTTCAACTTATAAAACCAGGACTTGTCAGAAAAACTCTGTCGAACTCAACACGAGCCTGTGCCTGTTGGGTTACAAACGATATTCCCATTTAACACTGTCAGTATTGGAGGTGAAGAGAGCAACAGAGTGCAAGACTTCTTGTAATCCTTAACAAGTCACATACAGTAAGTCAGTAAGTCAGTGGTGTTTCAGTGAATAGTATTCCAGTCTTATAAACCTACTGGCTGTTTCTGTAACTCGATATGGAGTTTTTGAAATTGTGGTAACAACTCGTAGGAGGTATGACACCGATTGTAACACCCAGCAGGAGGGCTTACAATCATTGTAAACCCTTGATAGAACAAAAACTACGAACAGCCTACGGGACGTACAAGCAGATTTCGTGCCATTGCGAGAAGCACGTGCAGATTTAGCACCGTTGCGAAACTCACGTGCTGAGGTCACCAGTTTCATTGAACCGAGTTCACGACTGCAGGCGATATTTCATCTCCGATACAGGTTATACATTTGAGAGTTTTTATTCAGTTATTTGATTATAAACGTTGTCTATGCAATGAGTCTGTTTATAAGTTGGACAAACCATGTCTCCTCCAGGTTACTAGAGATGGTAAACCCTCACATGAGGGAACGTCCCGAGGGGTTTACCATCTCTAGTAATCCCTCGGAGACATGGTTTCTCCTACACGTATCACTGTGTGTCAGCTTGATGTGGGAAGAAAGCCCTAAGTGATGCAGGTTTTCACTTTGGTGACACCCATGAGCATCGGTATGGTGCTGATAAACCTAGAAATATAATCGGGGTGAACTGGGATTTGAACCAATGAACATAGGTTTCTGGCATGCCCAAGGGACGTAACTCTGCACAGGGAATTGCAGTGCCTTTGACAACTGGGCCACCTGTACCCCCATGTTTTTTCAAGATCACTCATCAAGCTAAAACATTATGAAAGGTCAAAAGTGTGAGCAACAGAGATTGAAAGTGTGAGCACCAGAGGTTGAAAGTGTGAGCACCAGAGGTTGAAAGTGTGAGCACCAAAGGTTGAAAGTGTGAGCACCAGAGAATGAAAGTGTGAGCACCAGAGAATGAAAGTGTGAGCCCAAGAGGTCAAAAGTGTGAGCACAAGAGGTCAAAAGTGTGAGCCCCAGAGGTTGAAAGTGTGAGCACCAAAGGTTGAAAGTGTGAACACCAGAGGATGAAAGTGTGAGCACCAGAGGATGAAAGAGTGACGAGTGAGCACCAGAGGTCAAAAGTGTAAGCCCCAGAGGTTGAAAGTGTGATGACCAGAGGCCGAAAGTGTGAGCACCAGAGGTTGAACATGTGAGCACCAGAGGTCGAAAGAGTGAGCACCAGAGGTTGAAAGTGTGAGCACAAGAGGTTGAAAGTGTGAGCCCCAGAGGTCGAAAGTGTGTGCCCCTGAGGTCGAAAGTTTGAGCCCCAGAGATTGAAAGTGTGAGCACCAGAGGTCGAAAGTGTAAGCACCAGAGGTTGAAAGTGTGAGCACCAGAGGTTGAAAGTGTGACGACCAGAGGTCAAAAGTGTGAGCACCAGAGGTTAAAAGTGTGAGCCCCAGAGGTCGAAAGTGTGAGCACCAGATGTTGAAAGTGTGAGCACCAAATATTGAAAGAGTGAGCACCAGAGGTTGAAAGTGTGAGCACCAAATATTGAAAGAGTGCGCACCAGAGGATGAAAGTGTGAGCACCAGAAGATGAAAGAGTGACGAGTGAGCACCAGAGGTCAAAACTGTAAGCCCCAGAGGTTGAAAGTGTAATGACCAGAGGCCGAAAGTGTGAGCACCAGAGGTTGAACATGTCAGCACCAGAGGTCGAAAGAGTGAGCACCAGAGGTTGAAAGTGTGAGCACAAGAGGTTGAACATGTGAGCACCAGAGGTTGAAAGTTTGAGCCCCAGATGCTGAAAGGGTGAGCACCAGAGGTTGAAAGTGTGAGCACCAGAGGTCGAAAGTGTGTGCCCCTGAGGTTGAAAGTTTGAGCCCCAGAGGTTGAAAGTGTGAGCACCAGAGGTCGAAAGTGTGAGCACCAGAGGTTGAAAGTGTGAGCACCAGAGGTTGAAAGTGTGAGCACCAGAGGTTGAAAGTGTGAGCACCAGAGGTTGAAAGTGTGATGACCAGAGGTCAAAAGTGTGAGCACTAGAGGTTAAAAGTGTGAGCCCCAGAGGTCGAAAGTGTGAGCACCTGATGTTGAAAGGGTGAGCACCAAATATTGAAAGAGTGAGCACCAGAGGTTGAAAGTGTGAGCACCAGAGGTTGAAAGAGTGAGCACCAGAGGTAAAAAATGTGAGCCCCAGAGGTAAAACATGTGAGCAACAATTGGTAAAAGATGGTACATGATACTCTGCCTGGTGCTCGAAATTAGATAAACAAGGACTGGTGGTTCAGAGTCTGTATGGTGTGACAGTAGGCTAGCACCATTAAACTGGCATAAGTCCAGACTAGTACAAGCCACCACACACACATGCATGCACATCGTTATATGAGGGCAGTAATCTCAAACACGATGTCAAACCCCATTACAGTTCACCCCACCTGTCAAAAGGCTTCATAAACTGAGCTGTGTTTGTATAAACTTTCACACAAATGAAAAAAGAAAGAATTCAATGACATTAGGTGTACCAGATCAAATTTTGTGGGTCGTCAAGAAGCTCTCCATTCCGGTTTACAATTTCCTTAAACACGTCACATCGTGCCAGGATAAAGCCGAAAAGTGCTGCCAACGATAAAACCACACACACTCACTATCAGCTTTAATATCCTGACACTGGATGATGGGAGTAACCGTGTACCTTCAACAATTGCTAACCTTTGCTGAGAGGACCTATAATTTCAGAAGGGATCTCGATGTTTTCCAGCAATATTCATGACCTATTGATCAATATTCATTCTGTGAAAGAATCAATGCTGGCATCATAAATGGCCACTAAAAAGCCCAGTAGAGTATGGCCTCTGACCAAACCTTACGACAATGTACAGGACACAAGCGTTAGACAATGATTTATAGCGACACTCATGCAATCTTCAGTGACAGGAAATTCATGGAAGACTAGATATTTCAATCACTTGGACAATAACACAAAATTCAGAAGACGTGATTCCATGATCTAGCTGTTCTTTACATGTTTCCCTGATCCCGAAACTGATGATGGTTTGTGGCAATTCATGTATTTATGTTCAGGCAGCATATCAACAACTTTTTAGAATTAATCTTTATTGCGTCTTCCTCTGAAGAAGTAATTTAAGATTTAAAAC